CATGCAGCGAGCCTGGCGCAGTGCGTCCAGCCGGGCCTGGTCCCCGGCAGCCCCCAGCCGCGGGCTCCAGCTTCCTAGCCTTCCCTGGGGGTGGGGGTTAGTTACAAAGGTTCCTGTGGGTCTCTGGAGTGGGGAGCACGGCGGCCGCTTCTCATCTGAGAGCAGTCCCAGGGCCCGGCCCGCCTCCGGCCCCGCACAGGGGGGAATGTCCAGAGGTGCTGTGTCACCACCTGGTCTTCTAATTTGGAAGGAGTTGGAAAGGCCTTTTTGTTGATGAAAAGTTGGAAACAGTGGCACATATCTGCAAATATCGAAAGAATAAAGATTTTGGCAAGTTATACTCAAGCCCCGCATAAGCTGGTCAGCACTGGTGAGGGCAGAGACCCAGGCGCCTGGGCAGAGGCGGCAGCGGGTGAAGACAGGAGAGGAGGAGGAGGAGGAGGAGGAGGAGTCCGGCTTCACCTGCACCCCTCCTGTTCTCCCAGGCTGCCAGGAGCCCAGGGCGCAGGGAGGGGACACAGAGCTGCAGCACAGGGAAAGCACGGCCGGAGGAGCAGGAGAACCGGCCGAGGCCGCCACCTGCAGCTCCACCATCAGTGCCTGCCGGGCCTCTGCTGGGCGCCACGGCCTCTGCCCCTCTGGCCCAGGGAGGAGGGAGGTGGATGGACCGCTGCCGCCGGGTCTCCAGATGGAGGCGCCGGTCAGGGGAGTGGGGTGCAGCCTGCCCCAGCCAGGCCGGTGAGCCGGGAGGCCCCCAACCACCAGAGGACGCCCGGGAGCCCATAGGGGCACACCCCCGTGACAGGAGCCGGGCCAAGAATGGCCACGAAACATGTACGTGAGGTCACGGGGGAGACTGAGGATCTCCACGGCCATGTCTAGCAGGGGGGTCACGGGGCACCAGCCACAGAACAGGCATGGCTCTGCTGGGGAGAGGGGTGGTCCCAACAGCGACGAGAGAGGGAGGTCCCGAGACGCACCCCTTGGGGGTCTTGAGACCACCTCAGGGGCAATGGCGCGAGTGAGGTCACCATGGAAACAATGGAAAGAAAAAATCAGGCCGCCACCGTGAAGATGGAGAGAATGGAGGGCCCACGGGAAGGTGGCAGGCAGAGGCAGCACAGTGCAGCAGGCAGCAGAGGGCGCAGGGCGGCAGCGCAAAGGAGCCGCGGTGAGGTGGCCACGAGCTGGGCGTGGGCGGAGGACAGAGGGCGCAGGGCCCCCCCGGGTGGTGCAGGACCAGCGGTGGAGGAAGTGGGAGGTCAAGAATGGTGCTGAGGGAGCAGGTGACTGAGGCGGAGTGTCTGGGAGCAGGGGCCCAGGGCACGGATGGTGGTCACCGCAAACACAGACACCCGAGGGCTTTACAGCGGCGGCAGCAGCAGCAGCAGGTGTGGACACAAGCAGGCAGCCCGAGGCCCTGGGAGTCTCAATGGGCGTGAACAGAAACAAGAAGCTTCGAGTCTAGGCAGGGTCAGGGCTGGGGAGTGCAAGGCGTGGCAGCAGCTGTCAGCAGAAAGAGGGTCGGTCAGCATGAACGGGGAGAGGGGAGCAGCAGGCACGGGATGGAGGCAGGCAGACCAGGCAGAAGTGTGCTGGGCAGGGCAGAGGCGAGGATGAACGGGCAAGGCCTGGGAGCACTGGCTCTGCTGGGCGGGGTTCCGGAGAGCCTGGCCGGGGCTTGGCCTGGTGGGCAGGACACAAGGCCAGGCTGAGAGCCCAGCTCTGATGCTCGGAAAGAGGCACATGGAGTGACACGGAAGGATAAGGCGATCTGAGAATCCACACGGCAGCTCACCTGTGTCTGACCCAAGATCCCGGAATGGTCCAGCCAAGTCCCGGCTGGAGGGTGAGCATTTGGGGGTGGGCACTGGGTGTCAGGTGCTGGTGTGCACAGACAGCAGGCTCGGGGCGGCTAAGAGCCCGGGGCTGGGCCCCGACCAGTGAGAGGCACACGAGAACCCGGTGTGAAGTCTGCAGCGGGGGACAGGGAGGACCGGCCTGCGAGGGTCGGAGGGACGGTAGCGAGGCACAGGCTGGAGGCCTGGGGAAGACGTCTAAGGCTTTGCGAGACCAACCGCGGCAGCGGCAGAAAGCGTGGAATAATGGTTAAGAGCAGAGTGTGGACAGGGAGGCCTCGGCCCTGGTTCCCGCTCTGCCAGCTCGCCCTTCAGTGCAGCCTCTGCACAAGCACGGACTCCAAGATGTCGGGGGGTGAGAGCGCACACCTCCAAAGATCCCTCAAGCTGGACAAGAAGCCCTATGGGGTCAGGAGGAAGGTGGGTGTACATGGCGGGCAGGCGGATCTATACAGATGTGCTGAGGGCAGCCCGCTGTGGGCTCAGGAACCGTCTGGAAGACTCTGGGTGTGGATGAGGGTGCCAGGAAGGCCCTGCAGAGCTGCGTGTGTGTGTCTGTGTGGATGGAGAGACTGCAGGGCGCCTCCCTGACTCTGTGGTCCCTGCCTGCCCGCTCCTAGCTGGGCCCTGCCTGTTGGGAGGAGGCCGCGGGGCAGGCGGGAGGGGGCGGAGCACGGGCACGTACCGTGAAGATGTTGGAACGCCGCTTGGACTGCTTGCGGATGGGTGTGGGGGTGGAGGAGGCAGCGATGGTCTCGATGCGCAGCTCCCGCTGGCTGATGCTGGGGGTGGAGGGGACTGAGGACGAGTAGTCGCTGAAGGCGCTGCTGCCGCCATTCGTGGCCTAAGGACAGAGAGGGCTGCTGAGGGCGGCTCTGGGGTGGGGTGCGCAGGGGCAGGCGGCAGGCGGGAGCTGGGAAGCCCTGCAGTGTGGGGGGGCCTGGCCTGAGGCTCATGGGGCAGCCGAGGGGCCACTAGCTCCAGACGGTACTGGGGGGAGAGACGGCATGGCCTGGAGGCCAGCAGGACCCAGTGGTCACTGCACTAGGTTACCGGCTGTGCCAAGCAGGGAGCTGAATCAGAGGCAGAGGCTGGCAGGTCGGAATCAGCGACTGAGTCTGGAAGTGAACTGTGGAGTCTTGGCTCACAGGTGGGTCTGGCACGAGGTAGCAGACCACCCTGGATGAACTCCCCGAAGTCAGTGACGTACGTCGAGGAGACGGGAAGATGGGGTAGGGCTCGGGGGCCAGGGAAGATGAGGTTTGCTTGCAGGCAGTATGCGTGACAGGGGAAGGGACATGGGCGAGCCGAGGCCGAGAATAGCTCGACTGTTATCGGAGGAGGTGGCAGAGAAGAAAGAGAGCCGGCAAAGGAAGAAAGGACAGAAAGGATGACAGGAGGGGGACAGAGTGTGCGTGGCAGGTGGCAGCGTCCGCTCCAGGGCTCAGGAACACACGCAGGGCAAGGCCTGCTCCCTAAGTGTCCGCACAATGTCACTGGGTAGAGACTGTGTCCTGCCCTGGCAGCCCCTTGAGTCCTGGCCAGCACAGAAGGAGCAGAGGACGTGAATGCACGCCCTGCCCTCCCCGGGCAGGGCCCCCATGCGGAGCTGAGCTGCATGGTCCCATGTTCTGTTGGCTGAGGACGGGACAGTGAAGAAAGACCTATGTTCCTCCTTTTCTCCACGTGGGGAAGGCCAACTACCTTCTAAAGAGCTATAGGGGGCGTCTCTGCAAAAGCAACTGGGCCGTCGTCAGGAAACAAATGGGCCAGGGTGGGACCTTGGAAAGACGGTGGCCCTTGGCAGGAGTGAAGCAGCAGCTGTCTGCTTGGCGCCACGGCACCTGTGATGGCCCACGGAGTTCCACAGAGCAGGGGACGGAGCAGGGAAATGCACCCACGGAAGGAAGGACGCTCTGACCCGTATGCAAAGGGCCGAAAAATACCAGGCAGTCGGCCAGGAAATGGACAAGCGTCCAAGTGCCATTACTGGAGGGACACTGGGAGGACCTGGCTCAGAAGCACTCCCGATACCCCACGGGGCACGAAAGCCAGCGGTCCCTCTGGGGCAAGCACTACCCTTCCGAGTGTCAACAGTGACAGAGGGCCGACAGGTAAAGGAGGCAAGCGACACTCCCCAGCTTTGTCAGGGGCCGGTCCCCAGCAGGCCGGCAAGAAGGCCCGTGCCTCCCCGGTCTGCCCCACAGTTGGCAGCTCCTAAAACAGCTCTGACGGCGCCAGCCGGAGCCGATGCTCGGCTGCCTTAGCTGAAGTGGCTGCGGGGTGAGCGGGGACGGGACAGGAGCAGGAAGGCAGTCACCACAGGGGTGCAGAAGAGGCCAGGGCCGGCCGTGCAGGCAGCACGGAACTCGAGCCAGTGCTCTCAAACCGTCCGCAAGGCAGGAAACAAGACGAGGTGGGGACGCGCAGGCAGACAGACAGCATGGCGAGGCGGGGCCGCGGCGGGGCGGACGCGGGGGGCGCGGGGAGGCTGGCCGCACCTGGTTGATGTGCACGGCCGGGATGGAGGCGGCGGACACTGCTGAGTGGCTGGGGGAGTTGGGCAGTGACTTGCAGGGCCCGATGGCCAGCTGCTGCTTCTTCCGCAAGGCCACTACCTTCTGGGCCACTGCAGGGGACAGCAGAGTCAGTTACCCCTCTGGGGAGAAGGGAGAAGCCCAGCTGAGAGCCGCCCCCCAGAGCACACAGCCCCACTGGCCGGCGGGCCCCCCGCCTGGCGCCCGAGTTACCGTCCTGGAAGACGCGCTCCACGTTGAGCCCGTAGGTCGCACACGTCTCGTAGTACGTGCAGCGCTTCAGGTCGGTGGACAGTTTGCGGGCCCTGCTGTCGTCGATGACCCGGGGGTTTGCGGCACTGATGGCGTCTGTGGGGGCGGGAGGGCAGGGATTTACTCAGCCTGCCTAGAGCTGGGGGGCCACCGACGGGGAGGGCCGTTTGGTCAGAGGCAGGGCGGGCGAGAAGGCCGGGCGGCAGATGACGGGGAGCATGAGAACGCAGGTGTCCGGGCCTTGTTCCGGCTCTGCCACCGAGTCGCTGGGTGAAAACGAGCCAGCCGCTCAGTTTGTTCACCTCAGAAACCGCAGACAGGACGGCCGCGCGGATGGCAGGGGCTGGCTGGGGAAGGTCCCACAGGGAGCAAGGAGGGGGCGCCAGTCCTGGGGCCACACGGGGGGGCGTCGGTCAGCAGCGGGGAATGGGGGTCTGGGCTTCCGCATGGCTGCCTGCCTGCCTGCCTCGGGACCCAGCCCCGCGGGCCCGCTCACCCTGCGTGCCCACCAGCACCATGGGCACCTCGCTGGCGTTGCGGAAGCTGCAAAGCCGCAGGAAGTAGTTGTACACCGTCTGGAAGCTGATTTCATCCTCCAGGCTGAACACAAACACCACCGCGTCCACCCAGGCAGCGAACTAGGGGGGACCGAGCAGAATTACCAGCCCCGCCTGGTCACTGGCAAACTCCGTACCCCTCTCCCCACACACGCAACGGGCCAGCGCTGGGCAGGGGCCTCACCTGCAGCTCAGGGGGGCCTCCTTCATCTCGGATCAGCAGCAGGTAACTCTGGCCATCCACCACAATCTCCTTCTTAAACCGACCCCCTAGGACAGAGCGCACGGTCAGGCGCGAAGCTGGCAGAAACGCTCGCGGGGCCGAGCAGAAAGAAATCCACAGCTTCCAGAGGGGGAGACAGGAGGACTGAGAAGGGCAAGGGGCTCCAGCCCCCCTACAGACAACAGGAAAGAGGGAGAGGGCAGCGTGGCCGGCCGCACAGCCCAGGCCAGCCTGGGACGCTCACCTTCGGGGGACTCCTCCTGGACATAGGTCCCCGTCAGGTAGCGGTGCACCAGGGCCGACTTCCCACTGGACAGGTTCCCCACAATGCCCTGCGGGAGAGGAAGGGGTGAGAGCATGGTCAGAGGGCACCGCGGGGAGGGCAAGGCAAAAGCCACGAGGACGGAGAAGGGCCAGGGCTGAGGGCGGGGCAGAGGGCCAGGAGGAGGGGCTGCAGGGAGAGGCCTGGTGGGGAGAAGCGGGGGCAGGAAGTGGGGGAACAATGCCCAGGCCCACCACTCCAAGGCCGAGCCCACCCAGCCCTAAGGACGCCTGGGCCTCCCCCGGCCTCACTCACCACTTTAAGCTCTGGCACCGAGCGGCTCAGGGTCCACTCCTGGCTGTTCACAAAGGAGTCTGTGGGAGAGAAGGCCACCTGTCAGGACTGGGGTGGCACACACACCTGTGCTATCTGCCACTAGCTGGCTCCTATGCTGCCCCTTCTCAGGCCAAGGCCACAGGGCAGTGCCATCCAGATGGGACCCCAGCCCTCACCCCTAGTTCCCTAAGGAACAGCAGGAAAGTGAAACAGAGTGACAACGGTCCTCAGGGAGGGGACTGAGAGGTGTGGGCTCAGTTCCCCTGGCCTGGGTCCTTCCTCGTCTTACTGCTCCAGCAAGGAAAGTAGCTCCCACCTTGAGCCACACCTGGCCTGCTATCCCCAGGGCCCAGACACCAGACCCAAGCGAGCGGCCACTCTGGCAGGTGTCAGCCCAGACCCAAGCCAGGCTGGGTGCTTGGCAGCTGGGCAAGGGGCCTGCAGCGAGTAGGAACAGTTCCTCTGTGCAGGGTGGAGCCACCCACCACATTCCCTGCCTGGGTGAAGAGGGAGGAGCCCTCACCTAGTCCTGTTCTGACAAGGAAGGGGCAGGTCCCAATGGGGAGCTACCTGCCCCACCCAGCTGGCCCTCCTCCCCCAGCTCCTCCTTGCTGGGAGGCCACGGCCCTTTCTTCCCCCAGAGACCAGCTCCCTGGGCGCCCTCCTGGAGCCCATCCCACCAGGGCAGCTCCAGCTAATGCTGGCCCTTTCCTGGGAAAGGGCAGCCTCCTGCTACTCAGAGCCTTCCAGGGGCCGGCCCCATCTCCCTTATCTCTAGGTCGTTAATGACCATCCTTCAGCCACTTCGGATAGCCCTGGCCTGGGCCGCGCTTGGGTCCCTGCCCCGGGTTTTCTCAAAGAGCAGTTGTCACGATCGGGTCCACAATCCGTCCCTCAGCTCTCTGCAGAGGCAGCTAGAAGGGAGGGCTCAGAGCCCCGCCTGGGAGCTGGGAATGGTTCAGGCCCCGCCTAGCCCCAGCTGACTCCTCCGTCTCGGCCCCCCTGGGCCTCGTTTCTGCATGTGCCAAAAGCCAGGAAGGGGCCCTCTGGCCCTGGCCTCCCTGTCCATCATGCTCATATGTAGGCCAGCGCTAGAACCCAAACCGCCTGGAAGTCCTCCTCTGCTACTGCCACCTTCCCGGTCTGTCAGTGACCCCAGCGCCGCCCCAGCCGTCCCCGGCCCCCACGGCGCATCCATCTCTTCCAGGTAAGTTCAAGGTTTTCCCACGCACCTTCGACTCCGGGACTCGGCCCAGAGAGGCCCCTCCCCACCCCC